TTCATTGGAGTGTGTCAGTTGTCCAGAGGACTTCTGGTCCAGCCCACAGCGTGACCACTGTGTTCCCAAGAAAACTGAGTTTCTCTCCTATCAGGAGCCTCTGGGTGTCTGTTTAACAACCTCTTCCTTACTGGGCACATGTATCTGTGCTGTCGTCTTAGGCATCTTCACTTATCACCGAAGCACACCCATTGTGCGAGCCAACAACTCAGAGCTGAGCTTCCTGCTGTTGGTTTCACTTAAACTCTGCTTCCTGTGCTCGCTGCTGTTCATTGGACAACCCAGACTCTGGACATGCCAGCTGAGGCATGCAGCATTTGGGATCAGCTTTGTGCTTTGTGTCTCATGCATCCTGGTTAAAACCATGGTGGTTCTGGCTGTTTTCAAAGCCTCCAAGCCAGGAGGTGGAGCCACTCTGAAGTGGTTTGGTGCTAAGCAGCAGAGAGGAACAGTTTTAGCTCTTACTTGCATTCAGGCTGCAATTTGCACTGCTTGGCTCGTCTCTGCCTCACCAGCTCCACATAAAAACACCCAGTATCACAATGATAAGATCGTTTATGAGTGTTTAGTGGGGTCTACTGTTGGATTTGCTGTTTTAATGGGTTACATTGGCATACTGGCAATCATCAGTTTTCTATTAGCATTTCTGGCAAGGAATCTTCCAAACAACTTCAATGAGGCCAAATTCATCACATTCAGCATGCTGATCTTCTGTGCTGTGTGGGTGGCCTTTGTTCCTGCTTATATCAATTCTCCAGGAAAATATGCAGATGCAGTGGAGGTATTTGCCATCCTGGCCTCCAGTTTTGGTCTCTTATTGGCTCTGTTTGGACCCAAATGTTACATAATCCTGTTGAAACCTGAGAGGAACACCAAGAAAGCCATCATGACTCGGGGAATAAAGTCATAATATGGGCAGATCATTTAAAATTCTAATTTGTGTTTTGGATTTAGCAATAATATCATCACTAAACTAAGATCATAAAATAAATAGATTTGTGAAAAAAATGCCTGTGCATGTTGCAGTCGTGAATTTGAGTGTTTGCTTGTTCTTCTCCCTGAGGCTCTGTGAAGGAATGATGACCAGCAATAAGGTTTATTTACCATATCTGGGGTTAGGGTTAGGGTTAGGGTTAGGGTTAGGACCTCCATACAGACGATACCAGCTCTTTGACTCACATAAGCCAACAAAAGAATGGTTCATTTAAAGTTAAGTTAAAACAGTGAAAAAAAAATTAAGTAACCTATTTGATTACATCATTCTGACACATATATGTGTATGTGTAGATAAATGTACAAAACTGTGTATTTGGTTAAGTTCTTGGAAGAAAAGGGGCATATGCATGGATCATTTATATAATTTTTGTAGCTTTGTAACTTGGCATATACAAAAAAATGCAACTTGTCAGTAAGAAAACATCTACATATATTAAAGCTTATGCAGTTAAGGCACCACACCATTCCCTCAGAAAATGAATTGGAATAGCCATATTACATATTGTCTTTGTGAGATATTGTCCTTATGAAATAAAAATTGTTTTCATGTTAAAAGCGTAGGACCCTGCCCCTTTGTCTTCCACCCAGGAGGGCGATGTGAGACAGTAGATGGGACTTCCAGTTAATAAAAGCAGGATGACAAAGTTGCATCCTGCTTTGAGTTGACATTACACAATGAAAGGCTTCATGAAAGTCATGTGGCCTTTAACACACACAACTTCAGTCTTGCTTTTATTTTCTAGTTTCGTGTTTGCTTCTGCTGCATCCTCCTCTCAGTTCTCCTCCTCCTGTGCGTTACAAGGACAGTTTCATCTGAATGGGATGCACAAAGCCGGAGATGTGGTTTTAGGTGGGCTGTTTGAGATCCACTTCTTTTCTGTCTTCCCTGACTTGTCTTTTAGCTCTGAGCCACAACAGCCTACCTGCCATGGGTGAGTAAGTTAGGGACAAAGAAAGAGGGAAACCCTGGTATATGTTGTGTCATATTGGATAGTTCAATATGTATGGTGTTTAATATTTTTTGTAGTTTTATTTGCAATCAAATTTGTATTATCTATGCTTTTTCATAGTTAAATATGGTCCAGTGTATGGATATTTTACAATGTATGCATGTTTAAGAGTTATTACATTGTATTTTCCATGTTAAATAACATGTAAACTGTGTGTTAGTTTTGATGTTCTAGGCTTCAGGCAGGCTCAGACCATGGCCTTTGCAATTGATGAGATCAACAGAAACTCCAACCTGCTCCCAAACGTGACTCTGGGGTACAGCCTGTATGATAACTGTGTTACACTTGGAATCGGATTCCGGGCAGCTCTGTCATTAGTCAGTGGTCAAGAGGAGAAAATTACATTAAGGGAAACTTGTTTAGGAATCCCCCCGGTTCTTGGGATTGTGGGTGATTCTTCCTCCACACGCTCTATCGCTATCTCCACTGTTTTAGGTTTGTACAGAGTACCTATGGTAAGTTCTTAGCTTTACCTTCTGATATTTCTTTTGGATATTTTGATTTGTAGACAGCTGTAATCAACCTTGATAAAAAAATAAATTCAGTCTTTGAATGTTTTCATGGATGTGCAGTCTGCCTTTTACAGGTGAGTTATTTTGCCACTTGTTCCTGCCTGAGTGACCGCCAGAGGTATCCGTCCTTCTTTAGGACGATCCCGAGTGACGCTTTCCAGGTAAAAATCTTCCAGTGATGAAGATAATATACATTACACATAACATATGTTTTTGTTTTTTTAACCAGTCACATGTTTTTTGTTATTGATTGCATTGTGGTGTCTAAAAATTACTTATGTCTCTACATTTATCACTCTCCCTGTTTTCACTCAGGTGCGTGCCATGATTCAGATTCTTAAACACTTTGGTTGGACTTGGGCAGGTCTGCTGGTCAGCGATGATGACTATGGACTCCACGCTGCCCGATCCTTCCAATCTGATCTGGGTCAGTCAGGTGGAGGTTGCCTCGCCTACTTAGAGGTTTTGCCCTGGGACAAAGACTTAGCTGAACTGAAGAGGATTGTGGATGTAATGAGGAAATCCACTGCTCGTGTGGTCATCGTGTTTGCACATGAGAGTCACATGATTGATCTCATGGAGGAGGTTGGGCACTGTGCAAAATAATTTCAACTTGATATGTTTTATCTGAAGTGAATGAACTCACTGTTTTACTCTTTACTATTTCTATACATAATGAGACACTATTCACTGTAAGCTAACAGGAAAGAATAAACATTTCAAAACGGGTCCTCTGACATGATACAGCGTCAGAATCTTAAGGTGGTGTAACTAGTGGACCAAGTTTAATTTAGATATGGCCTAAACGTTCATCTGGTATGACAGGCTCTTAACAGCTTCATAACACCATCCTGGTGGTTTATCCATTTTGTGAGTTCATGTGAGGATAGGAGTCAACGTCACGTTGCTGCTGTGACAGCGGCACTTCACCTATCCGTGTGAGGTCACAGGGACATGTTAAGAACCTCTGTACACTCATTCCTCATTCAAACGTAACTAAATGCTTTGTGTGCCAAATGTGTTCTGAGTGTCAGCATGCATGATTGTTTGTATGTGCATGGCCTCAAGAGAACCCATCAGGGGTGTACACTGCCTCTTTTGCAATAATAGTTGTTTTGTTTTCAGCCCATAAGTGTTTGCAAATACATGTGTCTTCGTGAAGTATCAGTCAGATTTAAAACTGTGGGTTTCGGATGTAAAACATCATCCCGGAATGAAATGTATCCTTAAATATGTGCTTCACAATTTTTATCCGGCTCTGCTATTCAAAAGGTTTTAGAAGACCATTCTCAGATTAACTGAATTGAACACCAGTGTAAAAGAGTTAGTTCATTAGTGAACAAGTTATCAAGCAGATGGCATTGGATTTGAATCATGTATAGAATAAAGTTTTTAGAGCATATGTATTTCGTCCATGCACAGGTAGTGAGACAGAATATGACTGGCCTGCAGTGGAT